AAATGACGAAAAAAATGGTACAATTGTTTGCGATAATTTAGGAAGACCTTTTCTGAAGACCGTGCACGTTGCAGTGTCCGATACCATCATTCAACGCATTCTTGCACACATTTCGTCCTAGTATCTGTACTTTACCAGCTTTAGTGGTGGACTGGTCCATGGTCGACGGACTACTTGAACTCAGCCCTTTAAACCGCCTCTGCGCTCTCTCGCGGGTCCCTCTCCTCTCCAAGGCTTAGTCCTAGGGCATTCACCCGTTCTCTAATCGTCTGTGCTCTAGCCATCGCGGCAGGACCATTGAGGAAAAATCAAGTAGTCCGTAAACCACTGGTCCATGAGCTAAGCCAATGCTCTCCGTGTTGGAAAAGCAGGGAAAGAGCAGTGAAAAATAGAGATGATTAAATATGGACTGCTGTTCAATCACTACGTCCATCGACATTGTAATCCAAATAGTTCGCCAATGAAGATATGGCTTCAGGAGAGCATACGTTACATTAGATATTGCATCGACTTCAATGTTCTGTTGAACATCTTTTTAGTGTCCCGAGCGTTTTGGCGTGCAATGATCAACGGATTTGTGGGATAAAAATGAGCGTAGTGTTCATGTTGAAAGTTTTTGGAGACGTGAAAAAAGTAAAAGGTCGTTTTTGGACATGAAGTAGGAGGGAGAGTGGTCTTTTCTTCTCATTAGGCATTGTTGAACTAGTTTTTATAACTTTTGCATGATATTTCTGTAGGAAGTATAGTGATAGAGCAAAGTTGATATGAAATTCGACGTAATGTATGTTCCCTGCAATTTTCCCCATTTATTTGGGAATGTTTTGATGTGTTAAGGTCTATTCCGAGCTAGGGTGTGTTCCTTGCTTCAATGTCTACAAATAATGTCGCGTGTTAATGAAGATGTGCTTGATTTCCTCCTCGGTAAAATTCAGTAAGATTCGGTGATGTCCAAAAACGCTGGACATTAAGTGGTGTTATAGGAATATGGCCCAAGGTTTTTTTTATTCGTCCTTATTTTTTTGTCATGTCCTACAGTTTTCTGAGGAGTTTATGTTTTGTTTTATTTTTTCGGTGTTTTGCCAAGCAGAGTAAAGGGCGCTAACGTATAAACGTTCATACTTCCACTGCCTTTGTGCCACCTCTTAGCGCAGGTCGAATTCCGCTGAGTTAACTTAACTTCTCGAGAGCCATGGAATGTTGGCGAACTTTTATAATCTTTTTGAGCTACTTTATTGCTGCTCCAGCCTCTGAATTTGTTCACGGATTTCGTGGTATTTTTTGTAAAAGGATATTCCTCAAATGCTTCGCGGAATTGGCATTCGTGCTGTGCAGCTGTACTTTTCCAAAAACTGTGTGTACACTTTGCGGGCATCTAACCTAGTATTGTGTTGCGAGGACGCTATAATTATTAGGCGTGGAGTTTAAGTAACAGTGATTGAAGATGTTTTACCTGAAAAACAAAGCGAATGTCGAAATATTCAGGTGATATCTTAGGTTGAAGATGCACCAAGTTCTCCGTAATTTTTTACTGAATTGCCTTTATTTTAGCTCGTCGTGTCTGGAAGGACTATTTTCCCGCAGTAGATGCTATAGTATTCTTGGTGGACTGTGCCGATTTGGAGCGTATTCCAGAGAGTAGAACTGAATTGGAGTCGCTCATAAGGGATGAGCAGGTACGGCCCAGTTTTATTTACCAGTAGTCATAGTGCACGTTTCCACACAGCCATGATCACAACCAAAGGAACAGTTTCATTTGATCCGAGTGAACGCATTCGTATTCAGGTGGCAGGTGCTCCCGTTTTGATTCTCGGAAACAAAATTGATAAGTCGACTGCGCTTAGCGAAGAGCAGTTGAAGTGGCATCTCGGAATTCAGCACATGTGTACGGGAAAAGGTAAGTCCAAATCAGTTCATGAAAACGTAAGCTGTCTGCGATGAGTTTCGAGTTGAATTATTGAATTGGTATTCAGGTTCTACATTCCCATCATTGCTGTTCCTTTTCTGACTTTTTTGCTCTCCCGTTGCTTCCATTCCTTTTGGCTCCCTCCTTTGGTGTTCATTACTTCTTTTTCAAGTGCCGCCTTTTTGTTTCTGCCTTTTTCTTCTCTCTTCCGATATTGTTGCCCATATTTCTCGTCCTGTTTCCATGCATATTGTTGCTTCCCTCTTTTCCTTCATTAGTTTCTTTATTTTGTTCTGATATATGATGTTCGTCCACCCTATTCTTCTTTCTTCATACAACGATCACCCTGGATCCTTTCTATTCCTAGATCTTAGTACATTAATTAATTCTAATACGTCCCAACTATGGTAAGCAACCAGTTGATGAAACTGCTAACAAACCCTTCCGGCAGGGTTCATACGACCCATACTCATATCCTCTTCGTCTTCTGGCTCTACTTCCATCTTGCCTGAAACTATCTCGACTGGAGGTAACCATGTGTCTGACGAATTGCGACGGGTTGGCACAGGGGAAGTGGGCATCGTTTCTGATTCGAAAAAGGATGTATCTTTGGGAGAGATTGTACTGGTGATTTTGGGAGGAAGGAATTGGTGGTTTTGGGGTTCAGAGGGGATCGCGGTGGCGGGTGCTGAACGGGTTGTGTTTGTAGGGGCGTGCATTCAACACGAGCTAGTGACGGTTCCCGGGGATTTTCTAACTAGTAAGAGCTGGTGAGGGCACGAGCGAATATATCGCTGATCTTGCTGTCCTGAAGTCGCCGTTTGGGCGGACCTGTGATATGTCAAAAATGTAGTTGTATTATTTAGTCAACGGTGATTTCGTGATCGCCAACACCTCAATGGACCGTAAATAATTCTTGGTGTTGAACATGTCGAAATTTTCAAGGGTAGGTATTAGCTTACATGGGGTGGATTCAAAGACTTGTAGAATACTGCGGTAAGTTTTGCATGAATATATTCGGTTGTGAAGGCAGCTGTAAAGTTCTAAGTTAGCGGTATCGAAAGCGGACATTACTTATAACTCATCCTAATGCTTTGAAGCACATTCCACCTAATACGATGCCCTTTCCAGAATCCTGAAAGCGCTGCGGTTTGCTGCCGTTGTCGGCTAACCGGCTCATACTTTAGACGAGTGAGCGCTGATAAGCTGTGGTCAATATAGCGAGCTAGTGAGTGGTGCCCCGATACTGTAAGAGGTAGCACAACAGCCCGGTTATCAAGAGATGTTTGTTCAAATTTCATGGTTGGGGCCAAAGTTTTGCTCACACTCAGTATTCTGATGGAACTTCCGCAAAGCGAACCGCGATGTTCAAACAGCAGTCAACAAACAAAACAGTTCGAAATTAATACTTGCTTATACACAATACGATTCCCCTTCACCATGGGCTCACAACCTAAAAAATGGCAATTTCATCGATGTACTAACGTAGCAGGAAAGGTGGAAGTTGTACGAGAGATATGAGTTACGGATTCTGCTGTGAAGCCAATGATCTGTCATTTCAATTTAGCTCTGCTGGAGGGGTTCCTTCAATAAGTTTACGTCCGGCCATTTTTTTTGGCCGCATTGATGAGGCGAGCAAGGCTCCACTCGGCTTGTTGCCAAACCAGTCAGAAAACAATCTCGCCATTAGTGGTGCCACCGCCCAACCTGTGAATACCCGGTTGTTATCTCACTTCGGAACCAACACGTTGTGTTCTAGCAGAGCCCAGCTTGGACACATAAAGGGCGACAAGTGCAGCAGTGGTGTTAAAACGACCTCCAAGGCCTAATCACTCACAGTAATGGCCTCCTAAAATCCCTGATCTCAATCGTTGTTTAGAATGGTTTAGAGCGCCATGCTTGCGCTACTCATTACAATACAATCATTTCTCTCAACTGTTTTCAGGAAGGTCAGCACTGTGAATTCTGCCAATTTTTCGTACTATTTCAGGAGAAGTGGCGCGCTCAGATCTTTCATCACGACCGTTGGAAGTTTTCATGTGTTCTGTGTTGCGACGACAGGGATATGGCGAGGGTTTCCGTTGGCTTTCGCAGTACCTCGATTAAAGGCGATTCATTGCTAATGTATTGACGTATATCATCTTGTGTTAATTCTATGGCCGAGTTTGATTTTTATAAATATCGTTAGCGCACCATGCTCAGAATCGCGTCTTTTTTCTTGCTATGCATCCTTGCAATTATACAGCGCCCCTGTGATCGCCGCCGTGTATAAAATGTCCCATTGACTTTTATCACCAGATCCTTATCTGATTGAACTGATAGTTTCGCTTAGGACTCAATTGTTCTTCCATCAACACCTTAGCCCACCTATTTAGCAGATTTCAACTCATTTCCATGTATTTACTAAACGCAAACACCAACGTTTACGAGATTGGTGTACGTTGAGTTCTTCCCGTTCTTTTCTATCACTAACTAGATCTTCCTATCTTTTGAATACACAAAGAGAGTTCAAAAACCGCAGTGATAAATATTTGAATATGTTAGGTTCTTCATTCATTCTCCGCACCAAAAAGATTCTAATTTTGATACTATTTTACATTTCAGCAGGGAAAAAGACATAACAGTAAACAAAGACGATTAACTGAAGGAATGTAAAATAACAACATGATTCTGCATAGCAAAACAGTCTAGCTTCAAAGAACAGCAGTAACAAAGTAAGTATAAACATGACAATGATAGAGGATGATATGACAACAAAAACGCAACAAGTATTCAAACGCTTTCAATCAACAAGATTCACTTTGCGAAGGTATGACTTGCCGCTGGGAAGCGACGTTGTATTCACCTTACCAAAGATTTCTTCTGCTTTGCTCGAAGTGACGCTAGGCTGTACCATACACGCCTCTCTCATGTCCTTCCAGCCTTCGGGAGTTGCAACCTTTAAAACTCAACAATTAGTGTTCGTTGTTGAAATTTATTCTGATGGGAAATTTCGACGTACCGGCATGCGGTCAGCTAACTGCATTGAGTCGATCACGCGTAGAATTTCGCTGGAATAAATAGGGATCGTATAACTTCGTATAATGTATGCAAATCTCAGTAGGTTTGCATAATTCGGAGTAATTTCTATTATATCCAGGCTACGTGAGCTAGCAAACCCTTCTTGCATTTGCTTGGGCTGGTGTCAGAGTCTGCAATTCGTGCGAATCGCAAAAATCGCAAGTACCCATTTGAACATTTGAAACACTGAATATGAAACAAGTAGAATCATGAACAGTCGTCATTCAACCATCACCATCGAAAGAAATAGAGATTGGAGAGCATTTCGCAGTAGTGATCAGGCACTTGTGATTCCTTGAATCCGTTGCGCGAACCTCTCGATGAATCGCGGACTCTGACACCAGCTTTCTGCATCTGTCTGATTGACACTGTAAGAACTATTGAGATCACCACTACCAGCTGATTGTCCAGTACCCTTTCAATAGGTGGACATGTAATCGGAGAAACTACCCTAATTGCATAGGTACATATCGATCATATGACCGCAAGATCGATACGAATCTATTCCAAATCCGAAGTGCAAAATATGACCCGACCATAATGGGGCCACGCGCAGCGTACCGTACGGCGATGAGTAGACGTTAGCTTGACACTGTTCCCATAATTCGCGATTGAGGCTGATACCTGATGAGGCCCAAATATTCAACCATCGGCAAGGTATTACGAGTAATCTTGAGATCTCCGAAGTGATTAGCTCCACTTTATAACGCTTTCCTTATGAAAGGTGCCCTGTTGAGCTTAATGTAACTCCGCTATCATCCAACGGTCTTAATTTCCGTCAGAATAATGTTTCTCTATCCCAAAGCGGAACGTAGGAAGAGTTAAAGAAACGCTAGCGGAATCACGTACATAAGCAACGAATGACGTGGGATGAGCTTCTCAAGGAAGGAGATGTTTCATATTCCATGTCCCATGACCAATGACCAGATAATTCCTCATTGCTTGTGAACTGATCCAGCAAGAGCCGATGCGACATCGTTGGCTGCGGCGACTGGCCAACGCCGTGATCGAAACGACACGCACCCGTTGTATAGGATGAGAAAAAGGGAGCCAACGAATATAACTCGAATATTTTTCGAAGGAAGCCCTACAGTAATACTGTGTGACCAAGCGCCAGGCGATCTTTGAAGAAACTGGACAGTGAAGCCAGAACGAATTGACCGAATTAATAGAAACTGGATCAATTAGAAAAAAATAAGACTCACTCGAAGTTCCTTCCAGTTGTTGCAGGATAGAGTATCTGCGCACGAAGTTGTTTCTTGGGATCGATTATGAAAACCGCACGAGCTGTGAGAGGCATCCCATTGCTGTCCTTTTCTGCAGGGTCCAGCATACCGAGTGCGGTCGCAAGTGATCTATCCTCATCTGCGATTATTTCGAAAGGAAAACCTTCACCTGAAACGAAAAAAAAAAATACACAAGCTAAACTCTTTAGAAAAGTGGATCCTTCTATTATTTAAACCGCTAGCTTGGCGTGCCAAGTTTGACGTTGCGTATGTCGGTATGTGTGTCTGCTGTACACAAAATGAAAAAAAACCTGGGCACCTGTCGTTGCAAAACGCCTAAGAAACGTCAAGTACCTCGTGCGCTAGGTAACCGTATTGTTAGTATGGACATGACACGCCAACCAGCTGAACCCATGCGACTTCGGCGCTTAGCGATCCCGTCAGTCACCGCGCCGACTCATTGTGGACCCAAAAGAAGAAATCATACTCTTTCTTATCAAAATGAAAGATGCTGGAAGCCACATGAGTGGTCTACCGTAGTCAATCACAGTACTCATTTCAGTCGCCCAAATCTGAGTTTTTGATAAAATATAGATATAAGGGATGCCCAGGAATATCACAAGTTTACGATCTACTAGAATAATAAGATATATATAAACTAGGTTGTCATGTCATCCTTCTTCCCCTACAATAATTTTTCGTTGAATTTACCAATCCAGCAGATACCACGACTGAATCGCAGAAAAAGGTTCAGGTGCTGACATAAAACAAAACTAAGCATCTACTGAACAATACGCTACGAAGTGATAAGTGAGAGATAGTGATAAGTGAGATACATAAGAAGATGCTATT